GGCCGGTGATGGGTATTAAGGAGGGTGCATACTGCATGGAGCACTGGGTGTTATACGAAAACAATGGATGGTGGATCACCACATCAAAAACTAATGATGTATTGTATGGTGACTAACGTACCATAATAAAATTAAAAAAAAAAAAGCAACAGTAACCAAGACAATGTAATACTGACATGAGGATGAACATCTAAACCACGGGAGTAGAACTGAGAATTCAGAAATAAACCCGTACATCTCTGTCAATTGATTTTCAACAAGGGTGCCAGTGCCAAGACAATTAAATAGGGGAAGAATAGTCTCTTCAACAAATGCAGGGACAAATGGGTATCTACAGGCAAAGAATGAACTTATACCCTTCTCTCATACCAGATATAAATATTACCTCAAAAGGGTTCAAGTCCTAAAGGTAAGAGCCAAAACTATAAAATTCTTAGAAGAAAAGATAGGGGTAAATCTTCATAACCTTGAATTTGGCAATGGTGTCTTAAGATATAATACCAAAACCACAAACAACAAAAGAAAAAGTAGATAATTGGACTTCATTAAAATTTAAAACTTTGGTGTTTCAAAGGACACTATAAAGAAAGTAAAGGATAATCCCCAGAACTGAGAAAATATTTGCAAAGCACATATCTGATAAGGGACTTGTATGTAAAACATATAAAGAACTATGACAACTCAATAAAACAATGAACCAATTAAAGACTGGGCAATTATTTGAATGGACATTTCTCCAAAGAAGATATACAAATGGATAATAAGCAGATGAAAAGAAACTCAACATCATTAGTCATCAGGGAAATGCAAATCATAATCACAATGAGATGCCACTTCACACCCACTAGAATGGTTGTAATCAAAAGGATAGGTAATAACAAGCCCTGGCAAGAATGTGGAGAAATCACAACCTCTTACACTTGCTGGCTGGAATGTACATACTGCAGCCACTTTGAGAAACGGTCTGGCAGATTCTCAAAAGGTTAAAATTGAGTTACTATTTGACCCTGAAATTCCACTCCTAGATATATATCCAAAGAAATGAAAACATATGTCTATACAAAAATAAACTTATATTGAACGTTCATAGCTGCATTTTTCACAATTAGGAAAAAGGTGGAAACAATCCACGTGTCTGTCAACTGATGAATGGACAAGCAAAATGTAGTATGTCCTCACACTGGAATATTATTTGCCCATAAAAAGAAATGAGGCACTGGTACACACCACAACATAGATGAACCTTGAAAATGTGATGCTCAGTGAAAGAAGCCAGACACAAAAGACCACATGTTATGACCCAGTTATATGAAATGTCCAGAATAGGCCAGTCTACAAAGACAAAAAGTAAATTAGTGGTTGCTTATGGCTGGGGGGATGGAGAGTTGGGGAGTGACAGCTAAATGAAACAATATGGGGTTTCTTTTCAAAGTTATGAACATGTTCTGGGGCACCTGGGTGACTCAGTCATTAAGCGTCTGCCTTTGGCTCAGGTCATGATCCCAGGGTCCTAGGATCAAGGCCCGCATCGGGCTCCCTGCTCGGAGGGAAGCCTGCTTCTCCCTCCTCCACTCCCCCTGCTTGTGTTCCCTCTCTCGCTGTCTCTCTCTCTCTGTCAAATAAATAAAATCTTTGAAAAAAATAAATGAATAAATAATAAAAAATAAATAAAGTTATGAACATGTTCTAAGGTTAAGTGGGGTGACTGTTGTATGGTATGTGAATTATATCTCAATAGCTCTAGTACCAAAAAACAAAGAGAAATCACAATAAATGTAAATGGGTTAAATAAATAAATAAACGAGAGAGAGAGAGAAAGTCCCTTCCAGCCTGGCTCAGCATGGCACAGCCAGGTCTGAGCATATGGGGAAAATGACTAAGTCTCTCTTTGGTGTCTGCCAACATTTCTCATCACCCCAATTCTCAACCTCAAAAATAGCAGGCCAAAGAGTCCATTGTCTCTCCATTCTTCCTTCTACTCCTCAGGTAGAAGATACTCACTTTCTTATCAACCTGGGTGAAGTCCTCCCACCCAGAGATGAAAACACTCAGACTCAACTGGAAGGTGTTCCTCTGGGTCTCTGAATGGGTGCCATGGTTGAGATGACTGTTAATAGCCAACTACTGGGAAATGGGTCACTCCCCAGGCAAATCCAGCTACTGAACAGGCACCATCAGCACTAAGGAGCAACTGACCAGGCACGAGAAAGAACAAGATGGATGACCCAGATAGTGTACAGCACTTTTTTGCTAGTGGACCACAGAAGAGTACAGTCAGTCCTGGTACTTAGAATTTGCATAGACATTAAGAGCACAGACACTGGAGTTTGAATCTTAGCTCAGTGTGTACTAGCTAGGCAAACTTACCCACTGTACTTCAGTTTCCTCACCTGTGAAATGAACAAATAATAGAACTTCCCTCATGTGTAGGACTAGAACTGTGCCTGGCACATGAAAAGAGTTCTAGAAATGTTCATTATTCATATTTACATGTTATGATTATAGCTTACGAAGCCCCTCCACAGCCCTAATCTCATTTGATCACATAATAACTTGTGAGATGGATGAGGATTGTCAGACTCCTGCACAGACAAGGAAAATGAGGTCTAGAGAGAATAAGTGATTAGCCAAGACTCCACAGGTGCATGTAGAGGGCCAGCATTTGAACACAGGGCCCTCCTGCTCTGTCACATCTGAAACAGCCTCTAGCGACACAGGCTAGGATGTTGCTCTGTCACTAATTAGCTGCAAGACCTCGGGCAAGTCACTCAGCCAACACTTGGGTCTTTCCCACCTGTACGGGAAAGACTTGAACCATATAGATGACTGGCAAGCTAACACTGTGTGATCACGAGTCTAGTAAAGTATACTGGAGGTAATGGTCACAGAGTAACTGTCTTCCTCCTACAAGGGTCTCAGGAGCAAGCTGGAGAGCAGGGCAGAGGGTTTTACTAGAATCTTATTCAGTCTAGAGCAACCTGAGCACACCTGCAGTGGGGTAACCCCAGGCCATAAAGCACTCCCTGAGGTCCTCAGAGGGGTTGCAGGAGGATTCCCGCTCTTGTAAATGAGTGCTATTTGGAGAATAAAGGAAAAGGGGAGCCCAGAAGGACAACGGAGCTGGGAACAGTTGGGGCCTGTCTACTGTGTTTTGAGAAAGCACGGGTGAGTCAGTTCCGTGACTGTCCTCTGGCAGGTGTGTGCCACCACTCAGGACCATCACGGTGATAGGTGTAGTCTGAGCCTTGGGCAGGAGGGTTGCGTGTCGGGTGATGGCGGGAAGCAGGGCAGATGCAGGGAAAATGCCCCTCTGAACTGAGACACTTTCTGGCGGTGGAGAGGTGGCTCTCTAGGCCGCTTCTGCTAGACATGCAGGTTTAACAGTGGTCAGCTTCTCAAAGAAACCTGTGCTGCGGAACAAACTGTGGGCTTATGCTGTGAGGATAAAAGCAGATGGCAACAGAAGTGGATAAAAGTAAAAAAAATTAATTAATTAAAATTAAAAAAAAAAAAGCAGAAACAAAAATACCAAGCTGTACTGACTTGTCCACAGTCAATAACAAAACATGTTTTTCCCCATTTGAAAACTATCACATCCTGATATCTTATGTCCAGATCCCACAGGGAAAAGAAAGAAAATCCTTTTTGACCCCTAGAAGCATGTCAGGTGGAAAACTGTGTAAGGTTGGTGTGGGGGATGGAGAGGAGGGTCTGGAATTTCAGTCAAATTAAACTTGCTCCTGAGTTGGGTTTTTTCTCCCAATGAGGTTTCTGCTTCTCTAGCCCAATCAGGGCCTCTGCACCATCAGGTATGTTTCTTGGTTGAGGGAATGAATGAATGACCATGACCACAGGCCAAGTGGGTGGTCACGGAAGGCTTCCTTGGAGAAGTGCTTTGAAGGATGACCCATGAGTTTTGAACAAAAGTAAGTGGGACAGGGGTGGAGGGAGGGTGTTCTTGGAAGCGGTTAGAAGGCCCAGATCCCAGAAAGAAGTGTGCGCAGGGGTGGGAGCCTGAGGAAATGAAGAAGTCAAGTAAGGAAGCAGCTGCCAGAGCGAGAGGAAAGGAGATCCCATGACCCTTGCAGGTGGAGGGTCCCACCTTGCAATGAAAGGCGCAATTTGGGATGGGTAAAAGAAGGGAAAACTCAGGGTCAAGATGAGAAACTGTAGGCTGACGTGTCCCAAAACTCCCACAGGTTGTTGGAACGACTGGGTTCTTCCTAGATCCCTGCCCGAGTCCGGGCTTGCAGCCGAGGTTCATTTACATTCGTGTGGCGACCCCATCACTTGGAGGCTAAGCAACCTGTGGCCTCCGAACCTCAGATGTTTGGGGGAGGGGGGCGTGTTTGTTTTCCATTTATAAAATACAAGCAAAAAGGACCAGAAACGGACGCAACATGACCTCGGCCGGCCGCGTAGACACGGTGCTCTGGAGAGCTCAGAGCTGCTCGCAGCGCTCCCGGGCCGGGCCCCCGACGTCCCCGCGAGAGAAGGAGTTCTTCTGGGCCCCCCTCGGGGCCATCCCGGGGCTGGACCGCGACTCCCTCCGCTGGGCTCCGCAAGCCTCAACCCGCGCCTCCGCCCGCGGGGGTCCACCCCGAGCGGGTCTCCTACCTGGGGACACCTCCCAGGCACCCCTCCTCGGGCTCACTCCCCAGAACCCTCTCCCCGGCTCGCCCAGCGCGGAGACCCTGCCCTGGCGCCCTTCCTTGAAGCCCCTTTCTTGGCGCCCCCTGCCCGGCGTCCCCTCCCCGGCATCCGCTGCCCGGTGCCTCCTTCTTGGGGTCCCTCCCGGGGGACCCTCCTTGACGTCCCCTTCCCGGCCGGGCTTGGCGCCCCCTCCCCGGCGTCCCCCTCCCGGTACCCCCTCCCTGGAGTTCCTTCGGGCACCCTCCACGGCGCCTCCTTCCGGACGCCCTCCAGCGCGCGCGAGGCCTCCGCGCTCAGAGGAACAGTCCCCTGGCCCGCTCCTCTTCCCACCCCGCGCGCGCTGCTACCTGGATCTCGTGGATGCGGCTGAAGCCGTCCTTCCAGAAGAACTCCACCAGGTTGGAGAGGCTGCGGGGCCCCGGCATGGCGGCGAGGCTGCGGGGCCCTTCGGCCCGGCCCCCGGCCCGCGGCGCTCCCGGCCTCCCCGCTCCTTTGTCCTCGGCCCGCGTCCCCGCCGGCAGCCGGGCGCCCTCGGGCCGGGAGGGCCGTGAAGCCCCGGCGCTCAGGAACCCGCCTCGCCCGGCAGCCGGGCTCACTCGGGCGTTCAGGATTCGCGCCAGGAGAGCCATTGCAGCCGTTTGGGTTGGTTGGTTGGTCGAAGCAATTGTTTTGTTTGGGGAGATGCTGCCCTTTGGGGTTCCTCTTTGCTTCAGTGTGTTCGAGCAGCACTTCGAACTCATACCGCCTGGGCATCAGTTTACACAGACCATTATTAAAGGCTCCCTCCCCTAAGGCTGGGGGGAAAAAAAGGGGGTGGTCTGTGATTAGACTGCAAGAGAATGAGGCGGTTACCTTTTCTTCACATCACATTAATTCACCACTTAAGCGTTCTTCAAAACCACAAAATTTTAAGTTCAACCCCACTTCCGACCATGGCCAAAAAAAAAAGAAAAGTCTACTGGAATTTTCAAAAGTATTTTCTTCCTTAAAAATTACTATGGAGAGTACACCCAAAAAATCTAATTCACCATATATATATATATATATTTTAGAAACCGCTCTTCATGATTTCAAGCTATACAGTTATAATTCAACATGCAAAAATGTTAGATGATTTGTGCATGTAGTTCGTGATATTGTAAAATGGCCACATTATTATTTTACCATAAGTTTCCATAAGAATTGTGCAGTCTCAGGGGCGCCTGGGTGGCTCAGTTGGTTAAGCAACTGCCTTCGGCTCAGGTCATGATCCCGGAGTCCTGGGATCGAGTCCCACGTTGGGCTCCTGGCTCAGCGGGGAGCCTGCTTCTCCCTCTGACCCTCTCCCTTCTCATGCTGTTTCTCTCTCCCTCCCTCTCTGATAAATAAATAAAATCTTAAAAAAAAAAAAAAAAAAAAGAATTGTGCAGTCTCCGTCTGGCTTTTATGAGTCTCCTGGATTTTATCCCAGCACACCACTGCAAGTAGTGAGGAAGTGTGGTGCTTGAACATTGGCTTGCGCATTTGTCAAGTTTCTGGTCTCTGGCAAGGATCGCCAAGGCTCGGTCCTGTTAAACGCAATGCTTAGAGAAAGGAACACACCTACAGGGGAAAGTGAGAAGAGAGAGGATCTTGCCAGAATAGGTTCAGAGCCCAGTGCCTTGACTCAGAGAGGAAGTGGGCCACTGAGGGAGGGACTTGGCATGGGAAGGGCAAGAAGTGTGTCATCTGGTTTCAGGAAGGGAGCCCAGATTCTGAATGAGCAGTTCAACAACTTACCCTGAAAACTGAGAACGTTACTTAAAGATTTTATACAGTTTGTACTCATGCAGCTGAAGGAGAAAAAAAACACACACACCAACTACAAACACCAAGTATTGTTACTAAGCAAAACTAGATCTATTTTTTGATTAATAATTTATGCCTTTACAGTTCTGTTAAATCTATACTGGGCTTATAATAATTGTAAGTATGTAGGTGAAGCAAAGATGGCCACAGTTATTCAATTTCTAGAACTTACTAATAAGTAATCAGCAACTCTTATTTATAAAGCATTGTAGCTGCAAGGGATTCAAAGAGTAAGCCATTGAACCTGCCCGTGAGGGCTCATAACCTATAAGAGGAATACAACAGGCACACAAATCCAAGCGGGATTACCATCAGTGTCATAAAGCTGGTACAGAATATGATTGGATTTTGTGGGAAGGAGCGATCACACCTACTTGAAGGGCTGGTGCAGAAGAAAGACCTCCCAAGAGAAGCAGCATTTCCGGCAAGGTTTGAAGACCGGGCTCAATTTCACTAATCAGAAGTGGGGCAGCCGTTGTTGGAGGAGAGTATGAAGAATGGCACAATGACTTTGTTTTGAGAGACTTTTTTTAAGTATTTCTGAGGGTTACTGGTCCTCCGGAATGAAGATTTCATTAAAGGGACCTTACGTATAAAAGGCAATTCAGTCCATTCTAGACAAGAAACTGTTAAATATAGAATTATATATAAAGTGATTTGGGGCGCCTGGGTGGCTCAGTTGGTTAAGCGTCTGCCTTGGGCTCAGGTCATGATCCCAGGGTCCTGGGATGAGCCCTGAGTTGGGCTCCCTGCTCCTCCCCCCACTCATGCTCACTCTCTCACTCTCAAATAAATAAAATGTGTTTAAAAAAATATAGTGATTTAAAACATGGCTACATCTTTATTAGGGCTAACTAAGAAAAAGCCTGTGGTTGAAGACAGGAAGGTAGAGGGGAGTAAAAGAATACAGAGAAAGACAAGGAGGAAGAAAGATTTAATCATGCACAGAAACAGGTTTTCAGGGAGCACTCTTGCTCTCCTATGTCTTAGGATGTCATCTCTGATGATGTCTAAAGCTCATTCCATAATTGTGGATACAGATAAAGTTATCAGTTCTTCATATTTGCTTCAAGCCCTAATGAAACTGAGCCAAAGGCTATTTTAGAATCTCAGTACAGTGGTATAAATTATCAATCTGAAATTCTTCAATAGAATAGTATGTTGTTGTTGTTTTTTCCTGTTTTCTTATTACTGTTTTGTAGCTAATTATTATTATTAGTGGAAAATGTATATAAAACCAGAAATAGAATAAATCATTCTGATTGGGAGACTTTCTTTCACTCTAACCTAAATAAATAAATAAATAAAAATTATAAAGTAACTATTACTTTGGTCTTTGTGCAGTTTTTTCAATGAATATTGCTTTTATAATAAAAAATAGTTTATTTGAAATGAATGATTCTCATAGTTATGGGGAAGTTTAATGGGAGAAAATAAAGGGTGGACTGTTATAAGAATCTGAAATGCAAGTAAAAAATGACTGAAAAAAATTTTTTTCCAAATAGGAAAATACTGTTCGTTTGTTTGTTCCTTTCTCCCCCAGTGAACAAGAGAAACAAAAATGAGACTCTGATTTCTAGTAGACAGGACAGCACTCTCTGTCCTCATCTGACCTGAAACCAGGAGATTTTGCACAGCTGGTTTCCTTCAACAAAACCAGCTTATTGGCAGTACATAGGGAAACAATGAGGTGCCCTTACCCAAGAGAAAAAAAGGGAAATAAAGTTGCCCTCTAGAAGTTGGACGAATAAACTCTACACACATTAACTATCTATCTGTGGAAGTAAAACCAAGATATATAGTCTTTAAAATCTCCCAGAACTCAAATCAAGGTGACCTCAGATGAATCTCTAGGATGCAAAACTGGAATGTGGGGGCTGGTAGGTAAAAAAAGCTTAATGAGGGGCACCTGGGTGGCTCAGTCATTAAGCGTCTGCCTTCGGCTCAGGTCATGATCCCAGGGTCCTGGGATCGAGCCCCACATTGGGCTCCCTGCTCCGCGGGAGGCCTGCTTCTCCCTCTCCCACTCCCCCTGCTTGTGTTCCTGCACTTGCTGTCTCTCTGTGTCAAATAAATAAATAAAAATCTTAAAAAAAAAAAAAAGCTTAATGACGTGTATTCGTGGAATAGAGTAGGGATGATCAAACAATCTCAGAAAAGAGAACTAGTGTACAAGATGTTCTAGGAAGCAAGGCTTTCCATTCCCAAACCCAAACTTGCTGGTCACGGTGAGGCAGGAATAATTTGCCAAGCTTCATATGGTCTGGGGGAATATCTCTCCCTCATGCTGGCTTCCCGTGCTGATTCCTTGCCCCTGATTGGTTTCATTTTCCATCTTTAGAATTAATGATGCCTCTAAAAAAAATTAATGGTATGATCTTGCTACTTCCCCACACCCGTCAATTAAAAGACAAAACAGAAAGAAAATGAAATGAAGATGTTCTGGAAGACAGAACTGGGAGATCTCAAATCCTCTTTCTGTGAGTAAGCTGGGGCTCTTTAAGCCACTGCTGACATGTAGCCCCAACCATCCACGTCAGCTGAGGCAAAGAGAAAAACTTCCCTCTTTCTCAAAGGTATGTGGGAATTCTCCAGTGAGGTTCATTAGCCAGCAAAGCTTTAGAAGTGGTTGTCTAGCTGCCAAAATACCTCTAACTTATGGGGCAGAGAGCGAACAAAGGCTAACTGATGTGCTGGGCATGAGCAGGGGTGCCCAGTGGTAGACCACTAGGCGTGGGAGGCAGCCTCCTGCCACCCTTGGCCTTCCCTTCCCCATGTGCCCATGTTCAAGAGGAACAAAGGGATAACCTGGAAACCTCAGCCTGTTCAGCGGTGGGGTATGGGCTTCTGGGACCGGCATGCCCACAGGAAACAGGAAGAGAAGCAGACCTCTGGTTGACTCTCAACTCAGGGATGCCTTGGGTCTGTCACTGCATTATTGTTATTTTATGTCTAATCCTTTTTAAGGATCCACAGTTCTCCCTAGCCTGAGAATCAGTATTTCCCCACAAAATCACCCTAAGTTCATGGAGGCCTGAGGCCCTTGCCAGGCCAATGAGAAGAGTGCACAGGCTTCCACTATCCACAAAAGTCTTCTCAGCATGTAAAGCAGGCCCTGAAATATGAGGAGCCCAGGTGCTGAAATACACCCTGACGAAAGCAGACCATAGCAAGATGTTCTGTGCAAGACAGACCTACTCAGAATCAAACTGTCCTCCCTTCACCAGTGGAAGGAACAGTGTTAATAATAACTGTAATTTATTGAGCATTTACTATATGCCAGGCATTACACAGAGATCCTCACGCAGCTTTTCAATGCTCATAAAAATCTCCATTTTATACATGAAAAAACAGACACAGAAGTTCAATAAGCCCATGGTCACCCAGCAGTAAGCAGTGCAATCAGGATTCAACCAGGCCTGGGCTCCAAGCCCATAAATTTAGCCAAGCACTGTACACTCTCAGCTAAGCTTTCACACAACAGCATCAGAGGGCAAAGCAGGAGCAGTAAATGGTCTCTGAAAAATGCCCTAACATGTAGGAAGCAATACTGTATGGAAAAAACAGTTCTGTAGACATCTAATGTCCCATATATTAGACCCAGATCTGAGTTTTGACCAAGCCTGTACCTTACTACTTGACCTTGGGGAATTCACCCAAACCTCTTAGCCCTGTCAGATATGTTTATCTCATTTATTAGGTAAGAACAAAGGATGGTCTGAAGAAATATCTGAATTCTAAACTGAGATCTTAATATATCTCAGAAAACCTTCTTTAAGATGAGAAATTTGTCAGGATGCAGTAGAGTTTATTATTAGTGAAGATCCACTATGGAAATCTTTTAAAGGAAAACAAAAATTCCAGATAAGAAACTGGAAGAAGAAAAGCAAAAAGTAAAAGATCATTTGTTTGCACCCAGCAAGCACATTACTTCCCCAGCAAGCACTTTTACCCAGGGACTCTACAGCCTCAGGAGAAGAGACAGAGACAGTGGACAGGACCCATCTCAAATGGCACTGATGTTGCCAATGCTCAGCAACCGCCGCCAACAAAAAAGTAGAGAGGCCACACCCAAAACTTGCCTTGGTCTCAGGCTAGGAGGGCCTGGTGGGACATAGGCTAATTATGTGAATGGGTGATTCCCAAAGTCACCTGTAGGGTGGAGAAAATCCACTCTTAGCCACTGAACCCTCACTGTCTCCCTTCTCTTCCTGGGCCCTCTTCTTGCTGGCCACTCCCAAGCAGAAGAGGAAAGTACCAAGAGCCTTTGGAGACCACTGACCCGGTTCAAATCCTGGGTTTTCCAGCAACCTAATCAACCTCTCTGAGCCCCAGTGTTTTCATCTGAAAAATGGAGACAATAATAATTGGGTGCCTGGTAAAGATCATCCATAAGAAAATCCATAATCTCATATTTAATGAAGAAAGACTAAAGTTTTCTCCCTAATATCAAAAACAAGGATATCTGTTCTTGCCATTTTTATTCAGCATTGTACTAGAGGTTCTAGCCAAGGCAATTAGATAAGGAAAAGAAAAAGGAAAAAAAAAAAGGAACCCATATTAGAAAGGAAGAAGTAAAACCATGTGTTCACAAATTGTAAGGAATCCATACACACACATATTTAAGCTAATACCAATCCATACACACCAAATATATAAGCTAATAAATGAGTTCAGCAAATTTGCAGGACTCAAGATCAATGTACAAAATTGGTTGTATCTCTACACGCTAGCAATGAACAATCCAAAGATAAAATTAAGAAAACAATTCCCCTTAAAATAGCATCAAAAAGATTAAAATATTTAAGAATAAATTTAACAAAAGAAGTACAAGACTTGGACACTAAAAACTATAAAATATCATTGAAAGAAATTTTAAAAATAGTCAATGGAAAGTCATCCATATACATGAGTTGAGAGACCTGACTTAATATCATTAAGATGGCAATATACCTCCAAATGATCTATTGATTCAGTGTAATCCCTAACAAAATTGTAGCTGCCTTTTTTACAGAAACTGACAACCAGATCCTAAAATTGATATAGAAATGCAAGGGGCCCAGAATAGCCA